CTGGGTGACCGCCCTCTACCGCCTCCAGTTTGGCCGATGCGATGAAATCGAAGCTTGAACAGCTAGGAAACCCCTGGATCAATGCCTGCCCGATATACTCGCACGCTCATCCACCTGATTCAACTTCATTCAAGTAAGCTTCAACTCGAGCAGCGTCAACTTGACCTCGATCGTAGGAGGCTGCAACTTCGGCTGCGGCGCGCCAGGCCGGATTGTCAAGTTGAAGTCGCTGCGTGCGAAAGGCAGGTCCAAGTGAAGGCGCACGCAGTTGATGAAGTCAAAGGAGTTGGGCGAATGACGGCCAGAACTCAACAAATCTCCGATCTAGGACGAGGGGAGGCGACTAAGATCTCGACTGCCGGCAACCGACACGCTGAGCGAGAAGTCGTCCTTCTCTTGCCTCTGGTAGAGCAACTGACTCCGCCCGTCATTCATCCACCTGGTTCAAGTAGACGGAGAAGGGAGGGCACCTGAGATACATCGCTGTTCATGACGGTTGTTCAGTGTATATGGGATTTGGGGGCTTGTCGGTCCCATCGACGTTTTCGAGGACGACAAGGACGGACTCCCAAACAGTCGCCAAGAGGTACAAGGCAAGCCAACTGCTCTTGGAGACAGCTTGAAGAATTTTCTCGGCAACTGAAGGCCAGGCTTTTAGGAGAGGGTCGTCGATAGGGATCGGTTTGGTGTATGGTGTCACCATGGCGCGCGGATCTGGTCGGCACAGCCTACCTACCTGGTGGTAAATGGTACCAACAGCATTGTGCGCCTGATGCCCACCATCCTAACAGCCGTACGGCTGTCACCAGGGTCAAGCGGTAGGAATAGCTGGACAATCTGATGCCAGACGGGAGAGCAAACGGCGTAAATGGCGTTGGTGCTGGCTAGGACAACAACCCAACTCCCAGTTCTACGCCTTCTGGCTCGGAAACTGCAAAGACTGGCGACTCCGCTTAGGTGACCGCCCTCTGTCGCCTCCAATTTGGCTGCAATGGCATCAATGTCGCTCGTACCGGTGACTGTTTGGGAGAAGTCCATATCCACCAATGTCCCTGTCAAGGCGTGCACTGAGCAAGCAACAGAATCAGGCCGTTCCTATCGATATCCTTCGACCCAGTGATCAAACACGAACCAGACGAGCGAGCAACAGAAGACTGTTCCTCGACAGCGAGCTGACTGAGCCGCACCGCGTGTGAGGCACCTGCCATCGGGGCGACTGATGATGACTGATTCTGGATTTTCCTTGGCAGGATCTGAAGGACGGTGCAACCGGGGGAAGACGTTGGTGGTGGGATTGGCAAGTCTTGTGCTCCCCCATTATCCGGGGTTTGCTTGAGAAAATCCCCTAACAGAAACGCAGTACTACCTTGAGAGACCGCTGCGCGAGCGTGGTTGTTGTTGTCATGCACCCGCTGGGAGATCAACAATCCCTACACCAGTGGCGAGAGCAAGGAGCCTTTCCATCAAGCTTGACAACAACGGGCCCAAATCACGGGCCAAAACTCCGCCTCAGTCCATTCTTGAAACCAGCTTGTTCTTCTTCTTCTTCTTCTTCTTCACACAGGGGTTGCAATTCCTTTTCGAATGTGATAGCATTGCTTGATTCAATGGTGTGCTTGGTGCCCAGACGGACGATGTCCATGTCTTCTCTGGTCGCCTCAGGATAAACCGCCTTGACCTGAGGCTAGTTGGTAGGCTACCCCTTGGGTCAAGCCTTTCATCAAGCCTTTCGCCCCTTGGGTTAAGCGGTAAGTTGCCCCCGGGGTCAAATGGTAGGCTATCCCTAGATTCAAGCGGAAAGTATGGCTGGATACGCTTTTGGTGCCGCCTGGGACAGCAACCTAACTTCTATTCCTGGGCTTTTTAGGCTTTAGGTGGTGCCGGTCTCATGTGAGTCACCTCCAAGCTGTGGCCTTTAAAACCACCCACACTGGACACATTCTCTGCCTTTCTTCAACCCCGCTCATTTCATCTATCCTCCCCCCCCCTCCCCCAACCATCCCCAACATGGCCAACAACCAGATCCAGTTTTCATATCCTTATCATCCAAGCGAAGATTATAGCGAAGAGACGCACCGAGCGAGACGGCTATCTTCACTCAAGGAGATACTTGCGGCCGGAGAATTCGAGACCCACGATGCCAACATTCGATTCCTGATCCACTACTACGAGTCCGGCGGCAAAATGCCCAAGCCGGGCGAATACATGTACATTCAAGATGGAAAACGCGTCCCCAAATCCACACCGCCCACGAAAGAACATCCTGTGCTTGAAGAGACGGCCCCATTCCATCAGTTCGGGCCAATCTACTGGCTTCCCTCGACCTGTCAACGGGAAGCCTTCGCAGCAGCGTGGGACCGTTCCAAGGCGGCAGAGGGTGGTCACCCGGACGGCAGCAAGGATGATACCTCTAACGAGGGAAAGGTGAAGAAAGGCGGTCACCTGGACGTCAAGAAGGAGACCTCTAACGAGGAAAAGGTGAAGGAAGCCAAGTCAAGGTCAGATACCCGGCCGGCTAAGCGAGCGCGGAGATCCTGATGTGGTTGGGCTGTTCTTCTTGCGGGGAAAAAGCCAGAGGGTGAGCGCGCTGGGCTGGCTCAGAGGATCCGGGACGAAATAGATATAAGATGTTGAGACATTGTGGCCCGCTGCTACATTCATGGACATCCAGCTCTTGGGAGGGAAACCAGATAGGTCAGCGCCGAATAATATTGCCTTTTGAGCCCTCACTTGAGTCCTGAGACCAAGGTGGTTTCAATGTGTGTGTGTGTGTGTGTGTGTGTGTGTGCAAAGTGAACGCTCGGTCAACAGTAGAGCTTCGTTGGCACTGGCGGTGAGGTGAAGATAGGAGTGATGGGTTGGAAGATGAGCGCGGCTGGATGCAGGACACGCAGCCAACACAGGCATTTGGAGACGAAGGTAGCCCAGTGGGAGCCTGTCGATCGTTCCTACAGCAAAGTGGCGCCTGCGGCAATTCAGCGCCCAAGGACGTCCGTCAGCAGATCAGTGTCCCGATCACTCTGTTGGTCGCTCGACTGTAATTCCTCCAGCCACTCGTCGTTGCCCGTTCTCCGAGGAAGAAGGGAAGGCTGCAGATGAATGGAGGGTTGAAGTGGCTGTTGGTTGCGGTGTTACCATGACTATAATCCTGGAAACGCTGTTCCTTCTGTCCTGAGGTCGCCGTTGAAAGAAGCATGCGGTCTGTCGTTGTTGGCTTCATTGGCGTCCTGTCCGACCCCATCTCCATCGAGTGATTGAGGTGTTTCAGAGGCGGAGGAAGAGTGGACAGAAACAAACCAGACAATATGGCCCTCTAACGAGATTTGAACTCTTTTGTCGGCCATTAGCCAGAACAAATTTGATGATTGAAACGGCATAGACGTCCGTCGAAGATCAACCGGCTCCGGGACTTGGGGCGGATCTCGAGAGGCACACACAGGCGCCCCCAAGCGACATGGCCTGGCAATAGCGCCCGGTGTAGAGTCGCGCCGGCTCCATTCCTATTCATCAGCCAGAAGGACTGCAGGATCGTAGGAGGGGTCGATCTGAGCATAGGAACGCGACTGAGGGAAGCCGATTCGTGCCCACGACACGGGGCATCAGACACTCTGCGATTTTGTAACTCCCAGACAGGTGGAAGTCTCAGTTGGGGCCAAGGGACGGACAAGAAAGATGCGGGCGAACTGAAGACTTGGTCGATGCTTTTCCCATCGGCAACCGGAGAGAGCGATTCACTCTTTTGTCCCAAGATTCGAGGGGAGAGGCGAATCATCAACCAACCTTGCCCGCGGGCATGAACAACTCGCACAACTGCCAGAAACAACCCAAGGATTATGTCAGAGTCGTCAAACAGGACGTCTCCGATCGTCAAGGACGGAATTTCTGGAGCATCCAGGGTCCCACTGGACGTGGAGGTGGATATTAGGTGTGGATATGAACGGGGCGCGGAGGTGGACGTGCATACTTTGTTCGTGTGCTTGCTAGCTGCGGTACTTACTGTACAGCTGTTGTTCCTGTGTATAGCTTTGTCCATAATTCTCGCTCATCCATCCATCCAACCAACCAGCCATTCATCCATCACAAGGCGGGCGAGGGAGCGAACATCGTGAACAGAACAAGACAAAACAAAGCACAGTGGCACTGCACTGCACTGTAGAAGCCGGGACGGGACTATTGCTCCCAATCAAGGTGAGGCGGGCCGGCTGAAAAGTTCCCGTCCCATCTCGCTTCTTCACAGCCTTGCATCGTTGGTCCATTGTACGGGATTCATTTCATTCATGTCCATCCCCGGGGAAAGCCCGCTCTTTGGATGTGGATGCGCGAGGTGAGCGACGGGATCGTTGTGGTGGAATCGTCACGTCGCACACCTGGTGTCGATTGCCCGGCGGCCGGCTGCTCGAAGCGTGTCTTCAGGTTTGATCAAGGTCTTGGGCGTGGTGGTCATGGAACCCAACTGCTTTGCCGGGATAGTGCTCGTTGGTCCACGGATCGAATCTTGGCATCGTGAGTGTCGCCGAGAAATTCGCGGGACGCAAGTGTCCTCCTGGAGGAAAGACGGCCGTCCGTCTCTCCCTCTGAGAGGGTGTCCTCGTCGCTGTAATCGACGCTTGGATGTGGAGGAGATGGAAACTGGATCCTTGTGCTCCGCGGCCAGCGTGCCAAGGCCGTTTCCAGCACGCTGACCGCCACAGAGGCTGCCGTGCGGTCGCAGCCACAAGGGCGGACAAAGCGCTGGCGACGCTGCTGCAAACATAACACTGCACTGTGTTTGCCAGTTCAACCGTTTGCAGTCAGTGACGTGGGCCTGTTCTAGCTGAGATTGCTCTGGGCGGGGGCAGGTTTCAAGTTCTTTGTCTGCCGATTGCAAACGGGCCTCGTGCAAATGGCTGCATGCGATAAAACCCCCCAGGTCTGCCGCGTTCGTCCTTTTTTCTCCCACCCATCTCTCTTCTCTCCCTTTCTTTACCTGCTCCTCTATATATCAATCCATCCACATTCCAATGGCCTCTTTGAGTGGTGACGAATGCAGCCATGGGGGCAGCTACTATTATGCTCCGGCAGCACGGGCAGCATCACGTGTCCCTTTGTCGGACATTCCACACCCCACCCCAAGCACTTCAAATACCGAACCTTCCTCCGACACCTCCTCTGTCCGTCGACATCTACGAACCAAACTCTATACTCCTTCCATGACCCCGAAGAAGATGCCTCCCTTGCCCAAGAAGAAGTCGCCCTCGCCGAAGAAGCCTGTTCCAGCGCCCATGTTGCCCGTGCCAGCGCCCGTGTTGCCCGTCCCAGCGCCAATGTCGCCGCCAGCACCGGTTCCAGGCGACCTAGACCAGCTCAAGACATACGTTGAGGGTATGAAAGCTGGTCGGTGTGGGCCTCAAATGGACGAAGATGTCGAATTCCACGTTTCCCTTCAAGATTGGGACAAGCTATGTGAGCAATACGACATTGAGGAGCGAGTCCACTTCTACCGATACACCTACGATGCCTCCAAGTCGATTCTTACCCTCCACGGGAGCCCGTCGGCGCCACATGAGATCTTCGTCGAATTTTTCAGAGATTTTATTACTGAAAGCGTCGGGCGGCGAAAGGATACGATTCGAGTCGCCACTGGTACGATGCTCAAAGCCAGAACGGGGCAATACTCCGGGTCGAGGAAGCAACCAGATTTGGCGATTCTCGAAAAGAACCGCAAAGGTTGGATGAAGGTTACCGTGTCGTTCGAAATCGGCTTTTCTCAGACGTACGAGCAGTTGAAAGAGGCGGTCAAGTTGATACTGAAGGGCACAGGCTCGGTGACCGATCGATGTATCCTAGTGAAGATTACCGAGAACCCACGGTATCGATGCCCGTTGTCTACAGAGGCAAGAGACGAGAAGGTTTGGAGGGACCCCGACACAATCGAGCGCGACGAGTTTGAGGGTGACACGTATGGGCCCATTTACTTTGAAGGTCAGAAATGGATGGGCAGCATCTCGGAAATCTTCTGGGAGATGTGGAAGTTAGACGCCGCCACGAACGAAATCCAATTAGACGGAGAGCGACAAATCATCCACCCGATGTCTCCGTCCATACCTCGACCGGAAATACCATTTGGCCTAGCCCTTTCCCACCTCCAGCCGGATGACTCGGTGAAGTTGGACTGGGATTACTTTGAGAGGATCTTCCAAACAGCCGTGGTCGATTTCGCCAAATGCCGCTATGAAGAATGGTACGAGAAAACGTCGGGTGATGATCGGAAGGACAAGGACTATGTGGACGAGGGCGACGAGGGCAACAAGAGCGACGAGAGCGACGAGGAACAGAAGGAGCAACAGAGCAAGAAGAAGAAGAGACGGATGAAGTAGCGGACGGGATGGATTCATCGCCTTGGACCTTGGTACCCCCTCCCCCTTCGTGACTGGGTTTGGTTTTTGGTTCCCCAGGTTGAAAGGATCTCTCGCCTGGGACCTTGGTATCCCCCCCCCCCCCCCCCCCGCTGTTGACTGGCTTTGGTTTTGGTTCCCCAGGTTGAAAGGATCTCTCTCCTTGATCCCTTCAGATAGTTCTTTCGATTCGGTAATTCAATCAATCTAGGGCCCTCTGATGCTCCTCGGCACCCGCGATTTCATGGTTGTGCCAGTCCACGAGACTTGGACTGAGCGTGCCCTTCTTTACACCACTCACCACTCACCACTCACACCATCCATCCATCCATCCATCCATCCATCCATCCAGTCATTTGTTCTCCTTTTTAGGGATTTGCTGTGCAAACTTCCTCTGAAGGAGACAAGTTCTGCATGCAACCACTGTCTCCAAGGCAAGACCACCTGGGGTCCTTGAAATTAGAGGGTCCCGCCGGTCTTCCAGCTTCCACCCTTTGGCGCTGTGCTTTCTTTTCCAGGTGAGTTCCAGGTGCTGTTCTAGGTGAGGGTATTCCACATCCTCCATACCCAGTGCGCTACGAGTGCCTGAGCGCTGAGCGCTGGGTGCCTTCTACCCTCTGCCCTGCCTTTTGCCTTCTCAATGCCCAAGTCACTCACTCGCCGCACTCGCTGTGCCCATTCTCAATAATTTATGACGCACACGCTCTCCACCATTCCCTCAAACCCCACGCTTTCCGTCCCAAAATCACTTTTTGTCCGACCGTCGGCCAAAACACAGCTTTTCGAGTGTTTGATGGCCAAACCTTTTGGACTTTTCGTCCCAAACACCACTTTTTTCAACCGTCACTTTTTCAACCACCACTTTTTTAACCGTCACTTTTCCAACCGTCACTTTTCCAACCGTCACTTTTCCAACCGTCACTTTTCCAACCGCCACTTTTTCAAACACCGACTTTTCTTCCACTTTTTGACTTTTCGACCCAAACACCAACTTTTTTGCCACTTTTTCAACCGCCACTTTTTCAAACACCAACTTCTTTCCACTTTTTGACTTTTCGTCCCAAGCACCATTTTTGTCAACCACCATTTTTGTCAACCACCCACTTTCTCAAACACCAACCTTTTTCCTTCTTTTCAAACACCACTTTTTCAGCCGCCACTTTTGTCAACCACCATTTTTTTAACCACCCACTTTGTAAACACCAACTTTTTTCCACCTTTTTTTTTTGCCAACCGTCGACCTTTTAACACCGACCTTTTTTCCACCTTTTCAACCACCAACTTTTTCAAACACACAGTTTTCTTCCACTTTTTTGCTAACCGTCAACCAAAACACTGACTTTTTTCCCACTTTTTGACTTTTCGTCCTAAACACCCCTTTTTTCAACCACCACTTTTGTCAAACATCCACTTTTGTCAAACATCCACTTTTGTCAAACATCCACTTTTTCAGACACCCTCCTTTTTTTTCCTCTTTTTTGGCCAACTGTCAACCAAAACACCAACCTTTTTCTTTCTTTTCAAACACCAGCTTTTTTTCTCCCTTTTTTTACCAACGGTCGACCAAAACACCGGCTTTTTTCCCACTTTTTGATTTTTTCGTCCCAAACACCAACTTTAGTCCAACCTTTTTCCACGGTCGACCCAAAAGTCACTTTTCTGGCTCCAGAAGGGTGAAATGTTTTGAATTTTCGTCCTAATACCACTTTTTATCCTACCGTCGACCTAAAGACACACTTTTCCTAGTCTTTAAGTGTGTTAGAGTGTTTAATTGATAATCTTTTAGGGCTTTAACTACTTTTAGGCATTTAGGGGAAAAAGTTATACACTCTCACTACCTTAACTATATATACTTATTAACTTAACCTAATATACTCGCTAACTTTACTACATTATCGTACATTTCGTTCCTCAGTCTCGCGAATCTTATGGCTCGTATGTCTTATAGCTAACGTAACGGCGTGTGTGTCCGAAAAAGAATCCGGCCACCACCTATACTGTAATGGGAAAGGTTTGGAGAGGACCTGAGATGCAAGGCGAGCGAGCAAGGTGATTGGTCAACTTTTGGCTGTACATTGTACAGACAGACGTTGCCACTCTCTGATTGGTCAGTTCGAGGGTACCACTTTAGCTTGGTAGTCTTTTCTTTTGTTATTCGTCCAGACAGATAGACAACAACACAATCAATCAACTGCTTGACAAGATGTGAACGTGCCTGTTACCTACCGCCGTACGAGTTGGCGCCTATGGCTAGAAGCCTCGCTCCAGTTCAATAGCAGCCAGCTAGGTGATAAAATTAGTGGCACAGCGTTACGTTACGCCACTCACCAACTAGTTACTAACTATTTACGCACCTATAACTACCGGTAACCCACCGCTAGGTTTATGCTTTAATTACTCTACCAAAATGGTCGCAAATCGTCCAGTAATACCTAGAGAGGAAGAGGAGGCCTTAGGGAACACTCAGAACCTAACATCAGTTAAAGAAAAGGTGCGGACGTTAACGCAATTCTACCAGTAAAAGGGTATCGATATTAGTTAATAGGATATCTTCAAGTTCTGCCACATTCCTCCACGGACTAGATATCGCTATATCGCTACATCTCAATAGCCTCGAAGGTATCATAACTCGCCCTATTAGATAGAGAATCGTGGTAGGAAATCTCTCCTTAATAATAGCGACTTTAAAGTCTTTGAAGACTGGATACTATAGGGTGGATTTAACCACCGTATTTGTATCTGGCTTGAGGTCTTTCACGAGGTCTTTCTAGATCGTAGGCAGATCTCTGAGCGAACTATTTAAAGGGCCTTTCGCGATTGAGGCTATTATAAATGCGTTGCCTGCCAGAAGCCTTTTCTGACGGCCAAATCAATCAAAGAACGTCGCGAATATCTAGCCATTCGACGGCACTGGCCACTACACTAATGGCAAAGAGTTTGCTTTTCAGATGAATGCCATTTTAGCCGCGGCCCACAGCGTAAATTACGCATTATTCGAAGGCCAGGAGAGCGCTACCATCCGGATTGTATACAGAAGATATACAACGAAAAGACCTTCAAATATAAGAACGAAAAACACTGGCATATATGGGCCGTAGTTAACTATAATTTCAAGTCCAGATTGGTCTTTTACGAGACCTATTCGTCAAACGGTAAGATGACTACTACAGTCTATATTAACGAGATCCTAATGGAGGTTAAGCGATGGATTGATCAAGGCGATAGCGACTTCATCCTTGAGGAGGATTAAGACAGTACTCACGGCATTAGCCAGAACTCTACCGCCAGGCGCCTTAAGGAGCAGATGGGTCTTAACTGCTTCTTCAACGCCTCAGGATCGCCAGGTCTATCGCCGATTGAGAATATCTGGAGGGCGCAGAAACAGAGGATCAAATCGATCGATCATTTTGACGACAACAGCCTCGTTCAGGCGATCAACCAAGCGTGGCAGGACATTCCGCAGGAGACAATTAACAGGTATATAGACGGCATGATTGATCGGATGAATAGCCTAGCGCTCAGAGATGGAGATGTTACAGAGTACGAGGCGTGAAATCTAGGCAGGATTCGCTTCTGGACGATGTTCTATACACTGCAAATTACTAGCAATAGGCAGAATTGAGAGTCGTTGCGGCATCGACTTTGGTGGTGGTGGCCATTTTGGCTATGCCACTTATTTTATCATCTAGCTCGCCAGCTCCTGCACCAGCTCGTGGACACGCCGCGACACACTCACTGACTTGACTTGACATACTCACTGCCTTGACTGCACACAACTCAAGTTCACTCACACAGTCCAAGTTGCACACAGCTTGAGTTCATACCGCCTGAGTTCACACAATCCAAGTCCACACACTACTCACTGCCTGCCTTGTTGAAGTATCTCGCAGATCTGGATCTCGTCTACTGCATCTCCGATATCTGCATCTCGTGTATCTGCGTCTCCTCTACCATATCCCGTCTGCTGTATTCCCGCCTGTCTTGCCGCGTGGTTGTCTCGCGAAGCTGTCCCGTTCCGGCTCGTTTGTTTATCTTGCAGCCGTATCTTTGCAGCTCGCGAATCCCATTCGTTGATCTTCCATCTCGCGAATCTAGTAGCTTACGTATCTGTCCCGCGAATCTTGCATATTGCATCTATCTCGTCTGTCTTGCAGCTCGTTTGTCTACATCTCGTTCGTCTAGCATCTCGTCTGTCTTGTATCTGGTCTACCTTGCAGCTTGTCCGTCTTGCATCTCGTCTGTCTGCATCTCGTCCATTATGCATCTCGTTGATTTATATGTTAGGTATCTTACAGCTCGTGTATTGCAGCTCGTCTATCTTGCTCCTCGTCTGTCTTGCTCCTCGTCCATCATGCATCTCGTTGATCTATATGTCAGGTATCTTAAAGCTCGCGTATTGTAGCTTGTCTATCTTATAGTGGACGGGGATCGAGTTCGTTGGCATGCACGTGCAAGAACGCACAGGGGCCTGTCCAGGGGCCGGAGGTGGGCGCGGTGCTCTGGCCGTGACGCTGTCTCGCTAGCCTACTAACAACAACAACAACAACAACAATAACACAAACAAACCAAACACAGGAGGTCGGCGTCTAGTCGCTGTAGCAGAATCGATCGCAGGACTGCCTACAGCGCGTCGTGGGAACAGTAACAAGGGAAGAACAGAAGGTTTCGAGCACAACCAGCACTCTGTTCGCTATCTTGAAGCAATGCTGACTTGATCTGTTACTGTTGCTTTAGGACTATCAAAACCACTGCCTGCTCCGCCATTGGTAAAGCACCTTGTACAGTCGCGTGGCTGTACAACTTGGCCACCACGCCAGCCCATTACAATGGCTTGTCCGTCTTGCAGCTCGTCTGTCTTGCAGCTCGCGTATTGCGTTGGGCTGGCTGGCCGGCGTGGTGGTCAGGTGTACAGTCACATAGCTATACAAGGGATTTTGCCGTGACGACGCTGGCAGTGGTCAGTGTTGTCAGAACCGCAGTCAGCAGTCGGACCACAGTCATGCCAGCGACCATGACTGCAGTCCATTAGTCAACCGCAAACGGAGCGGTCTGATTGGTGGAACTAGGCTGAATCTCCGACCTGGTATACACCTTGATCAATCCAGTGTTTCAGGCACTGCGCGGCCTCAAAAGATCTCGCTGAAAGGCCACTATGGTCCTCAAGCAACGGCAAAACAGCAACAGATCCATTGAGCATTACAATCTTCAGACAAGCGAGACGGCGCCTTATATGGAGACCACGAGCCTGGCTTATTATCTCGTCCTGTCTAGAGTCCTTTGAGTTGGATTTCCACCGGGGCGTTGTTGACGCCGGGTTGCTTCTTAGGCCCCATGCATGCAATATCAGACATATCAGCCGTGTGTGACCCCCACACGAGCACCGCACAAATGGTGGTAATGCATGCAATAATGTTAATCAGCACAACAATGGACGACTTTGCTAGAAGTCGCAGGTAATCGTGGTAACCAGTTAGGCTTGCGATACACCCTATTCCACCTGCTGCCACTACTTCAATGCTTTCCAGCATTTCTTCCTGTAGCGAGCTGCTACCACCTAGAAGCAGCGACAGCATTGATAGGGCAGCCAACGCGAAGATGCCTGGAAAGAAGAAGAGACCGCCAGTCGAGTGCCACGTTTCTGAGGGACATCTGGGTTTTGTCTTGTCTTTCTCGCTCCAGTTCGATTTGTTTGGGGCTGGTAACCACCAATCACGTCCTGAAGCTGTGCACCGCCGGAGGATTCATGTTGATCCTTCTCACCGAGGCTAGCATGACCGATAGCCAGGCTGCGCTGGCACTGGCCTGATTGTGATGCTGGCTGGCTGGCTGCTGCGGTGTAACCGAGAGAAAGAGAGAAATGGAGAGAAACTCCTCGGGGCGCCCTCCGCTCTGTCCTTCCTCCTCCCCAGCGCCCCACCCCAGGCACTAAAGCCTTTAGCCATGATTTCCGGCGTGACGCCTGGGACTTTGGCCAGCGTGGCTGTCTGACCTGCAGTCAATGCCTGGATGAAGGCTGGGATAGAAGAAACAGGAAGCCCTGAGGTCTCGGCGGCCGCTGTGATATACTTCGGCAGGTAGTGTTTGATTCGCGTATTGAAAGCGGCCGTGAAGATGGCGGTGAAGATGGCAAACATCTTTCTCACTCTGCTAGGGCGAGGGATATCAGATTCGCCCACGCCCAGGTGCATCGGCCAATAGCTGAATTAGTTTCCTACAGGCCTTTCATACCAAAGACAGTGCCACGACCAGAACACCGCGGCCCTGTCTCGCTACCGGCCCCCTCTAGACAGGCCTCTGTGCGTTCCAGCACGTGCATGCTAACGAATTCGATCCCCGCACAACATTACTTGAGTTTTCACACTCACTCACTGCCTTGACTTCGCACAACCCAAGTTCACCCACATATAGTCCAAGTTGTAGATCGGCTGGGGTGGAGCGGGTTCCTGAAAATCTCGACGGCTCTGGCAACTCCCAGTTGCTGTCCTCACGACGCGTGGATCATGGTCATGTCTTCAGGTCGCTGGAGACAGCGATGCTAGCAGCATCGACGACTTGATCGTGTCCTACTCCTTTCGGCGCTCGTTTGTCCATGGTCACGGCCTTGCTACACTTTCAACGGAGCATATCATATTGTTACAAATGCAAGCAATCAAGATATTTGCTGCGCTGACGGCGTCGACGCTGTTTATGTTGGAGACCATAGTAGCGGAAAAGAGCCACCCTGACAATACGGCCAGCAGAATAGCTCATTTGCCGCTTTTTGGATAGGGCAGAGTCGGAATGGCCTCGTCCGAACAGGCCGAAGAGCTACTTGAAGCGGTAACAGAGGCGCCGTCTGATCGACTCGTTCGCGTCTGCACGGCCCGCACTGTTGAATCGCCAGGCTCTACGTGACGCCTTGGACGCTTACTTCTCCGCTGCTGCGGCTCCGAGGGCTGTGCTCCTGCCAGTCCCGCTACGGCTTCGTCGGCTATTCGTTGGCTGCGAGAGTGAAAACAGTCTCATGTATGGTTGGCGAAACCCTGGCGAAGCAAACTCAAACATTACCTGTCTGTCTCTCTCTCCGAGTCAAAGCTCCGATTTATGCTTCGAATCGAGCCTCCTTCCCACCCCGTGTCTGGCTCCACGCCGAATACCTCCTTGACGGTCGCGGCGGCGGCGGTGGCAAAGTTCCTTTCGAGGCAGGACCAGGTCTGGGTGAGTATTGATGATGCTTCTGATGTAGCCGAATTCAAAAGGCTCCAACACAAGACGCAATTGCTCTCGGAATACAAAGACGCAATCAGAAGGTTATGAGGATGGGCGTCATCTATCGTGCAGATAAACTGTACATATCCTGAGTTCATATAGTCCAAGTTCACACACTCACTGACTTGACTTCACACAACTGAGTTCATAACTCACTCACTGCCATGTTGAAGGATCCCATATCTATATCGTGTCTACTACATATCGTCTACTGTATCCCGTCTGTCTCGCGAATCTGTCTCGACAATCATCTGTCTCACGAATCTATCTACATCTCGCGTATCTGTCTCGTTTATCTTGTATATCGGGTATCTTACAGCTAGGTCTTTTGCATCTCGGTTTGCATCTCGGTTTGCATCTCGGTTTTGTGCATTGTAATGGGCTGGCGCGGTGGTCAGGTATACAGTTACGTGACTATCTGGGAGACTTTGTTATGACGACGCTTGCAGTGGGTTCGATAGTCCTTAAGCAATAGCAAAAGATCAATTTAGCATTGCTTCACACAGCGAACAGAGTGCTAGTTGTGCTCGAAACCTTCTGTTCATTCCTCCTTGGTTACTGTTCCTGCGGCACCCTGCAGGCTGTCCTGCAATTGATTCTGCTACAGCGACTACACGCCAACCTCCAGCGTTTGGCTTGGTTTGGTTTGGTTTGGTTTGTGTTGTCGCTAGCAAAGGAGTCAGGCAGTGCCATGCCCACTCCCCACGGAATTCCGACAAGCACGCTGTTCTCGACGCGGACCCATCCACTCACTCACGTCTTGCGCCAAATCGAATGTCACTTTTTTCGCTCATCAACCCCAATTTTTCCCCCTCAGATTGTCCACCTTTTGTTCGCCCATCAAACTACCCAATGTCTCTGTGCTAACCCTGGCAACAAAATTGGTCCCCTGCATCACCGATGGAATTTGAGCCAGTCCAAATCTCCAACTCCAAGTCATACCGACCACCGACACTGGTATGCAATTTACATGTCTCACCTCGGCACTCGACGCATTTTCTCCTCAGCTTTAGTTGACCAAGCGTCCACTTTGCGCATGCACGCACACCCACACACACAGACAAACCCCGACCCCAGTGCCGGTGTGCTCCTTGCAACCAAGCGTTCACTTTGCTCGCACACAACAAACCCAACCCTGGTGCGGGCGTGCTCCTACGCCAGGTGTTAGTGTCCGAGAGCCTTTTGTTCTTGTCGTGGCGTGTAAAGGAGCCGATTGGATCCAGCCCGAGGGCGGGCTGCGGTTAAGCTACTGTGAACAGACGCGCTGGAAGCAGGCGGCAGAGAGTATAAGAAAAGGGAAATAAGTCGAGATCCGCCAAAAAGAATACACTGCCTAGCAGTTGAATGGAAGGTAGTGGCGGCAGTGGCTGCTGGTTGGCAATCGATGCAGGGCCCTCTGCTTCCGCTCCCGCTCCGCGGTCAGCGTGTTGGAGACAACGCTCACAGGAGTCGACTCCTGCGCATCCGACTCCGACTCCTCCAGTCGCTGCTCCTGTGCTAACGCGATTCAGTCAAAAGACATCTTCGATGGACGCCGGTCAATACTGAGGTGTTCATCGTCGGCAAATACAGACGAACCGACAATCCCCATCCAGATGCCAAGTTCTTCGATGTCAATAGCCGAAGGCGAGGCGAGAAGGCTCGCCGCACCGCAGCAGAGGCTGCCATCGCCGACATACTGGTGTGGTTCAAGGACAAGAACAACAAAGTCGCCACCCTAGACGCAACCAATTTCACCAAGTCGTGACGGAAATGGATCCACGACAAGATAGTCGAGGGCCAACCTACTTCACCTAATTCGTCGAGAGCAAATGTGACGATGAAGATCTCGTCATACCTAAGGCTAGGAGTCGACTCCTGCCAACGCTGTACACAACACGTGCACCGCGGAGCAGGGCAAGTCTGTTCTTCTTCAACACCAGCGCCATCGTCGACCCTGTACTGTGAGGGTGCCACGAAGCAAGAACAACGCCTAGTTCAGTCATCCCCATGGCGACAGAGACCTCCCTCAGGCAGCGTTGGCACCACCACGCCGACCGTGGAGCAGAAGTAGACGCCCCTGCATCGATTGCCAGCCAGTCACCATCGCTGCCACTGCAGCCACTGCCACTTGCCACAAAGACAAACGTCTCTCAGACGCCAAACATCTGCGCAAGCAGCACACCCGCGCCAGCAACTGGTCAACAGCAAAGCTTCTTTGGCAATAGGGGTAACCAAGATCACAACTCTACCTCTCCCCAGTATCTTTGGAAAGCAGATGACCCTGGATCGTTTGCCAACCAGCAGCTACTGCCGCCGCTCACCACAAAGACAATATGGCCCTGTAATGGGTTTGAGACTCTTTCGGTCGGCCATTGACCCGAACAAATTGATGATTGAAATGGCATTTCTACCTGCCCTTTCCGAGACCAAGACAATCTCGGCTTTGTCTGCAACCTTCCCTTCTTTCTCCGAGTACGGGCAACGATGAGCGGCTGGAGGAATTGCAGTTGAGCGACTAACAGAGGGAAGAGAGAGGAGCGGGACACTAGACAACTTGGTCAATAGCAAACTTTCTTTGGCACTGGTGGTGCCCAAGATATCAAGCCTGCCTCTCTCTCTCTCAGCGTCTTTGGAGAGCAGACGGCTCTGTATCGAGATGAATGAACCACGGGTTGTTCCTGCTTTTACTTCATGGCACCCTCACAGTGCAGACATTGTGAACCATTTGAACGTCGAGGAGAGCATGGTACAATCGCATCCGGCGTCCTTGACAGTCAGAGGGGAAGCATGAAGAGGGTTATGTCCATAACACTGTAGGTCGAAACAAGTTGCTCCCAAGCGTCAGTTTCAAACCGGGGCCCTCGTCCTCGATCGCGGTATGTGTACTGGACCGAGTGTCGTAACAGCCATCCATCATTCCCTGGCTCCATACCTTGGTTTCAAATGTCCATCTGAAATGCCCAGGGAACCGCCGAAGAAGTTGAGGTCGGGAAGGTGTGGGCTCTCTGCGACCTTCCGCGCCGCGTATCCATATCCCTCGCCTCTCGGGTGGATCTCGTCGAGTCCAACACTTTGCCTCGGGGGATGGCTCTCTGGGCGTAGTGCTTGGGTGTCGAGAATTTGGCTCTCGAGCCACAGTCGACCGATGAGATCGATCAAAAACCTTCGCTTAGAGTCTGTGGAAGCCCGGACTCGTCTTGCTCCGCGGTCAGCGTGGAGGATGTGGTGGCAGGAGTCGACTCTTGCCAACGCTGCCTGAGGGAGGCCCTGTCGCCATTGGGATGAATGGACCACGTATTATTCTTGTTTCGATTCCTGCCGATGCCGCATGAGGGAGGGGCTCGGATGGCCGGCAGAGGCAGGCAAATTTCCTGTTATTGTCAGCTCCTGGAACAAAGTTGGACAGGAGCTTGACAGCTTGAACTACCTCAATTCTCTGCCGGGAAGGGGCTCGATCAAACCAGCAGCAGCATCGCATTGGATCTTGTTGCAAAAACAGGACAGGGTGGCGGAAGGAGGAAGGAACATCGAATGTGCCAGCCCAGATGGCCTATCATGCAGCGTTGCCAGGACTTCAGTCAGGCAGTCATTACTTGCAGTCAAACTTAGTCATCTATAGACGAGCGGTCTAATTAGTGGAAGTGGGCCTGATTCTCCGACCCATTCGTAGTAGTCTTGTACGTCTCCTTCTAGGATAGCCACCCACTGAGGGTGCTAAATCTTCTTTGCACCTCCACCTTGTGAATGAATTGCGGGAACCTCGAACTCGGAGATTGTCCAGGTAGAGTGTTTCGTCATCTTCGACCAAGTATGGGAGGTGTCCTGTTGCTTGCGTCCTATGCCTTGATGGTTGACAGCGAAGACACCTCAGGGATTGGTCTGTGGGTGTGCCTCCTTGATGCACAGTCGACAGTGGGACCGATCACCCTCTCCGTCTCGGATCCGCTGCAGGTCTCTTGCTTGGGCTTCTGCTTTTCCCTCAACGATCCCGCTTGGCCCTCTCGCTCCTCGCGCTGATTTCTGTTCCATCCAAACGATGTGATGCCGACATGTGGAACCGCTCTGCTTGATGTATCACTGGGCTTTGTGTGATATTTGCTTTGTTAGAATGTCCATTTCGCCGCGCATGCACCCTTTGTACGCATTGCTTACAGGCCTGGCACGCGGAAACAAAGAGAACTTGTGCGGCTCCTGTAGACACCATGACAGAATGTGCTGTTGCGCTCTCCAGCGGCTGGTGAATCGCAGTGCCCTCCAACAAAGCAGCCCTGGTGGTGTTGGATGCAATCCTGCGCTGTGGCGGTTCTTGCTCCGCCGCTGTATACGCAAATGCACGACCGTAGATAGCCCTTCCACGTGTCTTTCCCCGCACGCAAAACGCCCCCGCACTGTCGCCAGTTGAAATAACAGACGAATCTTTTGTTTATTTCATCATCTCTCATCGACGCCGCGAAGATTGTGCAACTCGCCTCGAGAAAGGATGGATTCGATCTCGGACAATGCGCTGGAGCCTGGGGCTCTTCGGCAACCGTTCGGCTCGCTTTCCGTTTCTGATGGCGGCGGCGGCACGGGCGCGCAGCACCCGCCCAGTCTATCGTCTCTGCCACCACCCACCGAACCCGATCAATTGCAGGAAGCTCTGAAATTCGCAGAAGACTTCGCGTCAGGCAAACTTCGTCTTCGAGTCGATAGTGATCCCATCGAATTCACCATTTCTCGAGAGTCATGGTTCAAGCTACAACAAGACTCCCACTTTGACTTATGCACAGAATGGTACGTGTCACGTCACCCCCGTTAATTCGTCTGGCGGCGCGCTCATCCACGTTTGCAGCAAATCATTTCGATTCGCATACGATAGCTCGCGCTCCCTTCTCACCATTATGCCTCCTCCCAGTACCAGGCACGATGCCGTCGTCGAATTCCTTTCCGATCTCGCGCAGGAGGCCAAGTTCAACTTGATGTCTCCAGCAAAATCCAAGATGTCGATCACATGGAATAGACATGTCCGAGACTTCGAGAAAGAATACGAGTCATCGCAAAAGCAACCAGACCTATCCATCAAGTGGTACGAGAATGACCCCGTCGGCCAACTCCACACTGTCGTCGAAGTCGGGGTGTCGCAGTCCCTCCAAAGTCTCCGGGCTCTGGTGCCGTTGTACTTGCAAGGAAAACCAGAAGTCCAACGCGTTATCCTAGTCAAAATCAAGGAAACGCCCGTGTTCAGAAGCTCGACGCAGCCATCGACCGACACATCATTGACACCAGACTCTAAGGAGCTTCGCAGAGACGAGGCAACGGGTGTCATTTGGTTCGGGGACGTCAAGGTGGTCGGAGAGACCCAGATGTTGTGGGAGGTATGGGGACGAAATATCGACGGTGATCCACACAAGATCTTCGAGGAGACGATGACATACGGGGCGGTCCCGTCGAGAGACCTACCCTTCTTTACGATCCCCGAAGGAGGTACACAAGGCGACCCGGAGGTTACTGTTGGACGGGAGGAGATGGAGGAATTTTGGGGCGTTCGTTGGTTTCGCGGATCTTGGGCGGATGCCCGCAGACGGGCGCAAAACTTGACTGTCTGATGAGGGCGTGGTTCAATTCAGCACCCGGGGGGTTTTCTGCCAACGCTTGCGCATTGGTTCACAGTCACACGAGCGTCAGCTCACGGTGGATGGCAAATGTCATGGAAGAAAGAGAAACACGGCTAGTCCAACTAGCAGTCAGTGATCACGTCTTGCAAAGACAGAAAAAGGGCTAGTCCAACTAGTAGTGATCAGATAGAGAGTCGGGAGGTATCCGCGGGCGATGAATAGCCTGGATCGAATTAATGCCTGCCAGCCAGCATTTCTTTTCTTTTTACCGCTTTGTACTCGAGTACGCTTTCAGTTCTCCAGCCAGTGCGCCGCAGTCAGTGCCGCACAGCTAGTGCAGGGTAGGACACTTCTAGTCGGGGCATCTCGCTCACTTTCGGCTAAATAGATTCATGAAAGCATTCAGATTCCGCGCTGCACGACTGTAGACTGCGCGGGACTGACTGCGCGACACTGCATAACGGTGTTTTCGAACAGCGAGAACTGGCATTTGATGAAACTTGCATGTATAATTTGAGTCTACCGCCGTCAATGTGTGTGTGTCTCGCCTCCTTAATTTACACCGCCTGCCCAGCCTGCCCGGCAGTCTTGTTCCCTGTGGACGAAAATGCCTCGCAGACCACAGAGAAACTTGGGAACCCACAGAGGCCAGCTCTGCTTGGCTTTGTCGGCCAAAAGCGACTTCGCTTCCCTTTCTCCCCCTCCCTTGTCTTGATTTTCCCTCCTTTCACTTCTGTTTCTCCTCCTTCGCTGTTGAATACCCTGATCGCCGGCGTGGAACAAAGGTCAAATCCCCAAAACCGAGGATCAGTTCTCGTAATACACCGACGTCAATCCGCGCGTGGACGGATGCCGTTTCCACAGGTACTTGTACCCGTCGCGCGGGGAGCGGTTGAACACCTCGAACCCCGAGGGCTGGAACGGACGGTGCCACTCGTGCGACTCGTACGGGCGGCGCGCCGCGCTCTTCCCTGTGGTGGGCCGGGCCTGCGCGCGGATGTGTCGCTCGAACAGGTCGTCCCGCTCGGCGAGCACGACCTCGCGGGCCCCCAGGCGGGTCATGAAGTGGTGGACGCCCGCGCGCTGGCGCTTGCGGTGCCGGTGTTCGCGCGCGGACGGGGGCAGCGCGAGGCTGTGGCGTGTGGCGAGGATATGGGCGTCCCAGGCCCAGCCGTAGCGGGCGTGGATCTCGACGCGGGGCGGGATCGCGACCTGGACGTCGGCGGGCATGCGCGTGAGCGCCAGCGCGAGACTCTTCAGGCTCACCGGCCCGTGCAGGCGGAGGATTTCCAGCCCGCGGGGCAGGTTGACGAAGCAGTTGCGCGGCACGTTCGGGACCAGCGCGAACTCCAGTTCCTTCAGCGCGGCCAGGGGAGCAAGGTTGAGGAGGCCGGCGGCCCGGGCGGGGGCGTAGGTGTACGGCTCGTTGGTGTACACCTTGAACCGCTCGAGTCTCGGTTGGTGGCGCGCGAGGACCGACACGAGCTTGTTCAGCGTCCCGTACTCGTGTTCGCGGTCCTTCACTTCCTTGGTCTCGAACTCCAGACTCTGTAGCGCCGCGGGGACTTCGAGAACCGCCGAGAAGAGCGCGGTGTCGTCCCAGCGCGCTTCGTAAAGGGCCAGGTGGCGCAAGGCCGTGGAGCGGGGGGCCGGGAGGGGCTCGTCCGGATCGAGGACCGGCATGGACACCTTCAAGGTGTGGAGATTGGGGGCTTTGAGGACGTGGTTCACCGGGGTGGGAATCGAGTAGCTGACCAGGGTGCACTCGCGGAGGTTGGCGAAGACGAGGCCGCGGAACTGGGGGTTGAGCTCTTCAAAGAGGTCGCCCTCGTTGAAGCCGATGCAGAGAATATGCAGGACCTCGAGCGTGCTGCAGAGCCGGGGCACAAACCGCACCATTTCCCGGTAGCGGAGCTGGCGGTGATCCGGCACGGTCCAGCGCGGGTAGATCGCGACCGTCTTGATCAAGCTGGCTCGCTCCGGCTGCGTCTTGAGCATCAGATCGAGATTGCTCCCTTGGTATCCGTCGGCGATGTGGAGGAACCGACAGAAGTACGTCTCGCAAAGCGCGTAGATCGTGCGGCATGTCAGCCGGAACGCTCGGACGTGCTTGTGGTTGTGCGGCCAGGGGTCGCTGTTGATGGTCTCGATGAGGAGCAGGACGATTTCGACGGGGAAGTCGAGCAGGTTCAACGGCCTTGTGACTTGGGACGTCGCCATAGTGATGGGGGTTGTCGAGCGTTTTGCAGTTGCAGTATTTGGATAAGAACTTGCCATTGAAACAAACGAGAAACGAGAAACGAGAAACGAGAAACGATTATGAGGATATATAGAGGGACCGACCGATGCTGTTCAGCCTTGCGAAGCAGTTGCGGGACAAGGAGACAACGGTCCACATACAAGGCGGTGATCCGCCACAAAGAAGGCATGATAAAGAAACAACGCATATTGGCAGACAAGGCAAAGGCCAGCGTCAAGACAATGCACCGCCAAGTTGTGTCCTGAATCAACGCGGGCAGACAATCTCTCTCGACATGAGATCGAGTTCTTTGTAGCAAAGCACCCACAGCTGCCGAGGGCTGAGCAGGGCAGGGCAGGGCAGGGCAGGGCAGGGCAGGGCAGGGCAGGGCAGGGCAGGGCAGGGCAGGGCTGGGCAGAGTGAGCATTCTGGGCTCCACGGATTTGCATGGGATCCACCGCGAGGCATGATGCTTGCATCGACGGGGTGCAAACGGGCCCCAGGGTGAAAGGACAAGTCGAGTCGAGTGGCCAAGCCCACGGCATTCAATTCCGATATGCACGCAAGTGCGCAATCAAGTTGGCGGCACGAGATGCGGCGGTTGAGCGACTGGGTGAGCGAACATGATGAACATGGTCAACAAGACCAAACAATATCCAGTACAGCATAGCACAGCGAGTCCCACGAGTGAGCGAGTGCGTCTCAAGTGCAGGAGTGCCCTGCGAGTACCGAGTGCCAGAGTGAGTCTGCGTGCGGAAAAACGTTCTAATGCTGGGAGTGAGTGGCCTTCTCGCCCTTCTTGCCTGCCGAGTGCCTCAGTGAGACTGAATGCCCAAGTTTCCTGCCCTCGCTGCCCTCGCTGCGCCTCGCTCCTACGATCATAACTCACACCCCCTCCCGCGTCTAATCAAAGCCCACGCTTTTCGTCGACTTTCGACCAAACAACCACTTGCGGTCCTGGACTCCCTCGCCGTATTTTTGAAAGAGAGGGACCCTTCCTTCGGCAAAGTACCCTCCCACCAACTTGGCCGACGAATTGGCCTTTGGATGAGATGGAAGAAGACATGCTACATGCACTTTACAATTGACGAATTCGCCCGCGATCAACAGGGACACCTCAACCGGTTCTGCCAGGAAATACAAGCCATTATTACAGAGGAAGAAAAAGTTTTTATTCAAGAGGGATTGAAACAACCCTAGGTTTGGTGGTATAACGTGACTTGCCGCCACGCTGCTTTCTGGCAATGTTGGACATATTCGAAGCTATTGCTTCGGCAGATTTCAAACGAGCCAGACCCAGGCCCAGGCCCAGCCCTGCTTTTTGACAATGTTGGACCCTCGGTCAGATTTCAAACGATCCAGTCCATCTCCCATAGCCAACCACAGCCGCAGGAGGATCTTCCATCTCCCACAGCCACAGCCACAGAGTGTCTTCCACCTCCCAGAGCCACAGTGCTTGCAAGGCAGGAGGACACGCGGGCGATGAGTTGTACTCGAGCTCATCACCGCGTGTCATCCGCCTTGGCTGCTCCCCTGGGCGGTGGAAGACGAAGCGGTCCCAGCCAGCCGCAGCCTCCTCGTCATAGCAGATGGAGGAGGTTGTTTGTTTGTCGTCCCAAAATCAATGCCGACGTGAAGGCGTTGTGATGGGATGGGATAGAGTGGCTCTGCTGGCTTGGCTCTGGCTTGGCTTGCCCTGCGACCGACGTGTCTCCAAACGCCCGCCCGAAGAAGGATCCAACAACTTCTTCTCCAGGCCCTTCGTCTCCAAACACCCACCCGAAGAAGGATCCAACAACTTCTTCTCCAGGTTGTTGCTGGCTGGAAACCCCATCGGAGGAGTGTTCCATGTGGGTGGGAGTGGGACTCGACTTGACTGGACCTGGGCACTTGGGGGGGGAAGGTGGTTAGCAAGGCGCGTGGCAAAGGCGCAGCTGAGGGGTTGTCCAACATACCTGCCTGGATGGTCTGGACCGCAGACATAATGTATATATATAAAGTTGCCGTGGCTCGAATAGAGCTAAGATTCGCAGCTCAGGATCTCATGTGTCCAAACCCTGGCTTCGCGAACTCGGTGTCCGAATGAAAGCCTGTGGTGCGAGCTTGCATCGGTGTCTCGAGTCTTGTCATGATGAGGGGTGGGGGAGAGTAGATCTCTCGGATGAGAGGGGGGGTTGTCGAGTTGGAGAGGTTGCTGGGGGGAAGAAAAGGTGACAAGAGGAGGAGGGAGGAGGGGGTATATATAGTTGAGAGAAAGAGTTTCAGGGGGCAGTGGACAAGGCAATCGGGCGTGGAGACGGGAGTGCAGGCAGTTAGTTGTATCACCCATGCATGCACTGCCGTGACAATGCTCGTTTGTCATGCTGTCAACAAAGGCGGTTTGTATCCCCCCTCGAAAGCTGCCTTTGTCGTGAATTGTTGATTGTTGGTATATGGGTCATAGCCGTGCATTGTCACTGAAGATAGATGCGGAACGGGAACGGGGGACTGACGAAGACGACGACAGCAAACGCAGTCATGGTGTCGTGATGATCAAAAACATCTTGTGGTGGTTGAGGCTATTGTTCATCGCCCGCGGATACCTCCCGACTCTCTATCTGATCACTACTAGTTGGACTAGCCCTTTTTCTGTCTTTGCAAGACGTGATCACTGACTGCTAGTTGGACTAGCCGTGTTTCTCTTTCTTCCATGACGTTGCCATCCACCGTGAGCTGACAGAAAACCCCCCGGGTCGTCCTTTTCTTACACGCCTATGCCATTCGTGCCCGTCGCTCTTCGTTCTCTGCGATCTGGCCGGCCTCCAGCATCTCCAAAAGGTCTTCCACCGTAAAGTCAATGGTCTTCTCGTGCATAGAGCGCGGGACGAGGTGTTGAGGAGCAATATCCAACAGGGATATTTGTAGAGGAGGCCCGGCGATCAGGGAACCATCTTCTGCTCGGATGTCCTGCGGCGCGAAAAGAAGTCAGTGGCCATCGTCGAGAGCGGCATCGAGATAAAAACAAACCTGGACTCGACGGTCTAAACCTCCAGAGCCATTAGGTCTCCAGGTGATCAGACTGACCTTCATGGTCCGGCCGTAGTCGTAGTCGATGGCAAGAAGCATTTGAATCTTTCGGTCACTGCGCAGAATGTAGAACTCGGCCAAGTCTTGGAGCCTCTCACGCTTCTGTGAATATGCAATTTCCACGACGACACCATATTTGTGCGACTTGCCATGCGCGAAATACCCGTCCGGTCGATGTATGCTACTGTTGCTTGATGATTTCGCGTCCGCCTGGCCAAAGTTCACGATCATCTTTTCGAATGCCTTTTCTTCCTCGGAAGCGCAGAGAGCGGCTAGCTTGACAGCCAAGGACATTGTGAGGCGCCCATGAGAGCTCTCATGAGCGTAGGAGACCATTTGGTGCGCAAAGGTCTGGGTCTCGGAGAAGTAGTGGTAACTACACGCCAGGGTCAGGGGGACTCAACTTTCAGATCCTCTTTTCAGTTGTGTCAGGCTTACCGAATCTTTCTGCCCGACTCGTCAAGGCGCTGTCGGAGAATGAACCAGTCTTTTTCTTCCAGCTGATATTCCGTCCAGGTGGCGCACCCGTCACAACCATGAGCGTCAGCAGCTTCGATAGCGTGGAGGATAGAGGACACGGTAGGAGGATCGCCTGGAGTGGTTGCTGGGTCATTTTGGCCAGCAAGTGAGACTGAAGCGTGGGCGGAGCCAGCGAGCGCACCATGCCCGTCTTGGACGCCCTCGTCTCGGCGAAGGGGTCCGGAAGGATCCATGGCTGAGCGCAGGTTTTCACACCTCGTGCACGAAGAGAACAATGATTGATGAGAAGAGCAAAGAAAGTTGAGAAGTGGTTTCTTTGAAGACGACTGTGGATGGGGGACGTTTATAACGTGCGGGGGAATGGGCTGCCTACGGCTAATTATTGATACGGTGAGCCACGGCGGCCAAAGGAAGTCATTCCTACGGTTGTCCATTATCCCTCTGAGAGCAGCTCCCATCAGCTCCCATCAGTCTCTCCGGGCACAAATCCTTGTCCACATCTTCACAGAGCGTGCGTGGAAGGAAAGCGATGGCGCAGCATTGTCCACTGTCGTTCAAAACGGTAGGACGTCCTCTCCACCGATCACGAAGTCGACTGACTGACTACAGCCGACTGACTACCGGTGACCGGGTCTGCCAGCTTTTCTTGGTGGTCTGTGGTCTGTTCAGGATGGGTTCATGATCGCCTGGAGAACTGCTCCGGCGACAGATCTCACTGCCAATCCAATCCACTGAGCTTGCTTCTGTCAGCTTTGCTTGTATGTTCTGTTCAGTATGGTTCATTTTCATTCTCGCTTGGAAAACTTCTTCGGCGACGAGTCTCACTGCCAATCCAATCCCGCCTGATCGCGCTCACAGAGATCCAACCGTCCCGACAGAGAACATCGGGCGACGAGTCAACAGGCCCAGTGCTTGAGACTGTCCCACTTCTCCGTCGCCGTGACCACCGCACCACGAGGCGAAGCACCAGTGCAAGTGCAAGTGCAAGTACGCGGCCACATCACAGCAAATCGGCGCGAGGTCATTGACGTTCGCTTTTGTTTTGCGAACTCGGTTTTGTCAACTCAGTTTTGTCAACTCGGATTTTTGAATTTCGGATTTTTCAATTTCGGGTTTTCGGATTTTGGATTTGGTTCTCGGATTTTTTTCAATCTCGGTTTTCGGATCTCGGTTTTCGGATTTCGGATATTTGAATCTCGGATTTTTAAATCTCGGATATTTGAATCTCGGATTTTCAAATCTCGGATACTTGGATCTCGGATTTTTCAAATCTCGGTTTTGTGGATCTCGGTTCTCGTATTTCGGATTTGGGGATCTCGGATCTCGCTTATCTTGCATCTCGGCTATCTCGCATCTCGCGTATCTGTCTCGCGTATCTTGCATCTCGCTACTGCATCCTGACGTCAAGCCAAGCCTACCTCGCCGTCGACACACCTCGTCGCCGACACCTCGTCGTCGATGCAGCAATATGGTCGACGACGAGGTATCGACGACGAGGTGTGTCGACGGCGAGGTCATCGCAGCTCCCTTTCTCCTCGTCCGAGATGTAGGGACGCCCTTTTGCCATGAACCCTTCAACGGCGCCCGAGGCCGAAATCAGTGGTCGCTGCCCGCTTGCTGAAGCGACATCAGCTGGGTTGGGGCTGTGGATTCCTGGTTCGGGCGTTCGACGCCTCGGGGAGAAGAACAGATGCGATTCGCCTGCGGGAGGCGATCGAACACGTCGAGCGGCAGGGATCTCGAATCGAGAACAATGCAAGACCATGTCACTGTGCCAAACCCAGCATTTGGTGGCCTGCAGTTTCCTGTGGAAGGACTTTTGGAGCGCTTTGGAGGCAGGCGGATGGTCATTCCAGAGTCAGGCATTCAGTTTGGGGCAGATCAGTGATCTCGTTTCGTTGGGGCACCCATTCTCTCGATCGTGAGCGGAGAGGCCCCCAGTCATTCGCTGGGTGACAGATCATGGAAGCATTTTCGGCTTTCGCCTGGGTCGGCTGCGTTCGATGCGCTCAAGATCGCCATTCCCGGCATGACGAAGAACAATCGACACGGGAACCGAGACTGTTCTTCAGACGGACGCTGTTTATTGCTCAATGCTTTCTGAACAGCATGCTCAGACCTCAAAAAGGTGGCTTTTGACGACATTGCCCACAGGGCATCCATCACGTCTGTGATTGAGAGAGCTCTGCCGTCTGCTTGTCCATGGCAGAGCGCTGTCACGCCGGTCGATGCCACTGAAGAGCCACACCCTAGATGTGACAATGCTTCCCGACTTCCGTGGACGGAGCGGCTTGGTTTACGATCTCAAGAACATCGACTATGCTGCTGGTTGATCTGTGGTGTTCGAGGCTGTGTAACATTTGCGAACGGAGCACCAAGCACGGATTCAGAAACTTGAATCACTCGACAGACGCCAGCGTGCGGAGGAGGGTGCGCCCGGATTCAGAGAGCGAGCAGAGCGAGAAGGGCGGCTAAGCAGTGAGGAGGCGGTTGCAAGAAGACTGCGACAGGACTACTGAGGATGAAATGGCCTGACGTGAAGGGCGATCTTGCAGCATTCTTGACACGATCGCGCAAAGGCCCGGCAATGCCTGCCATGGCAACTCGCCTTCGGTTCATGTCTTTCAAAGGGTTTGGCTCCCACCAACCTCCAAGACTACTCAAGTATTGGTGCAAGCTCTTGCACGGGGTGGACCGACACATTGATGAAGCAGAATAGTTTAGTTTCCATGATGCTGGCCACAGCATGCAGTGGTGTTTGGATCGGCGCCGGGTTGCCTCGTCTCGGATCTCCCTGTAGAAGCCGGGTGCCTTTGGCTGTGCTTGCCACGCTGTGAAGGCGTGCAAGGCCTCAGGATGACACGCAGTTGAATGGTGGTGTCCTGACTCTCTCGAAGAAACGCTTTCCAACTCGGCCTCATGCCTCCCAAACCCCATCAGAGCACCTGTCAAACGTTCGACCCCTTCGCCCGATCCTAGCCGGCCGTATCCTTGACCACTTCCCCAGCGCGCAGCTATCTCACAGTCTTCTCTCTGGTTTCTCACTTCAGAACCAAGCGCAACTCACCTTTACCAGTGGGCGGCACTGAACCAGGAGATCCCTGCGGAACAAGCCCCCTCCCGTCGCTGGAGACAGGCACAATTCCCTTGCGGCTGCGAACGCCGTTTTCAATGCCTGGCGGTCCTCGACGAACATCACGTCGCCTGGACTCGCACTGCCCGCATCAAGCACGCCAAACGCAGTGCCACAGAGTTTCCCGGTGAAGGAAACTAAGAGTTCAAGGAAATATACCGGAATACTGGACTGTATGGGGTCTTCGCGCAAGGTCGCCGCCCGCCTCGAGACAAGCGACCGCTCGTTCTATCTGTTATTCCCCCAACACGACCCGCAACGAAGCATCCAACGAGGGCTGGTGACGGACCTGGTAGCTCCGTGACTCAGAGGAATATTGGCAACCGTCGCCAAAGAGTGCCTTGGAATCGACGCGGGTGCAGAACTGACACCTTCCGAGGAAGGAGGGCCTGCATTATCGATTTCTTCATACGAAGCCAAAGGACGACCTCGAGACGTCTCCCGGAGGATGACGTTCGAGAACCAGTGGGAGGCTTAAAGGAAATTGTGCAGAGAAAGAGACGAGTCAAACCCGACCTGAATTGTGATGGGCACCTCGCAGAAGCACATTGATACATCAAAGGATATCCCGAAGATCCCTCTTATAGACTAGTCGATCTTGACATCGCCAATCTTGTGTTGTGGCTGTGTGAATCGAGTGTGAATCAAGGTTGAAGGGGATGGATCCACTTTGTAGGTTCAAAGCAAAAGTGGAGTTTCGGACGGCGGCTAGAGTCCCCACAGCCTGATCGAAGGTTGAAGAGGATGGATCCACTTCGTGGGTTCAAAGCAAACGTGGGGTTTAGGACGGCGGCTAAAGTCCCCACA